AACTTACAGCCTGAAATATCTATATTGAAAGAAAAAAGGTTGAAATTCAAATAAATCCACTTAAGAAGTTAGAGACAGAACAACATAACATCTCCCCACCCCTAAATATGGGAAAAGGTAATAAGGAGCACAGATTAATGAACCAGAAATGAAATAACACTGAGGATCAACAAAGCCAAAAATTGTTTCTTTGAGAATAATAATAAAGTAGACAAACATCTGGTGAGATCTGTCAAGGGAATAAGCATGAAGGCACAAAGAAATAATATTAAGAAAGAAAAAGAGGCTGTAACTACATATCTAGAAGAGATCAAAAAAGACAATAAGAGAATACTATACAGAATTTTGTGCCAATACATTTTTTAACTTAGGAAATGGACAAATTCCTAGAAAAATACAACTTAACCAAAACTGTTTTCAAAAGAAACAGAATGACTGAAAAGCCCTATAACAATTAAAGTAACTGAATCAATAGTTAATAAAAATTTCTCCACTCCCCTAGTGGTTGGGGAGAACCTCCAGGCCCAGATGGCTTTGGAGGTAAATTCTTACAATGTTTCAAGAAACAAAGTATTTCTCTTATACAAACTTTTCTGGACAATAACAGAAAAGGAAGGAATGCTACCCAACTCATTCTGAGGCCAGTATAATCTTGATATCAAAAACAGAAAAGAGAAAAAAAAATTACAGGCCAATCTCATTCATGAAAACTGATGTAAAAGTCCTCAACAAAATATTAGCAAGTCAATCCCCAGGGATATGTAAACAAGATAAGCATGAACTGTGGAATTAGACTCCTGGTGTTGAAATTGTAGCTCCAGCACTTTCCTGATCTGTTACCTTGAGCAAGTGTCCTTAATTGCCCTGTGCTCAGTTTCACCATTTGTAAAATGAGAATAATAATAATAACTAACTCACAGTGCATTTATGAAGATTAAATTCTAAAGCACTGAGAAAACACTGATCTTAGAACACACACCATATAAGTGTTACCTATACTATTATTATTTAGATAAATATAGGCCATTTAGGTTTAACCCAGAAATGCAGAAATGGTTTGACATTAGAAAAGTCTATAATGTAATTCACCACACCAGCATATTAAAGAGAGACACTAATAAAATCATATCAACAAAATGCATAAAAATGATTTAATAAATTCAATACCTATTCTTGATAAAAATATTACCAAAACAGGAAGAGAAGGTAATGTCTTTAATCTGATAAAAAGTATTTACCAAAAAATTACAGGGAACGTCATTATTAGTGATAAAATATTAGAAACATTTTCTTTCAAATCAGGAACAAGATAAGGATGCCTGCTATCACCACTTCTACTCAACACTGTACTGTAGATCGTAGCCAATGCAGTAAGACAAGGAAAGAAAGAAAAGGCATAAAGATGCAAAGAAGACACAAAACTGTTACTATCTGCAGAAAACCAAAGAATCTCAAATACGTCATTAAAATTATTATATGGAAATGTTGCTAGCACAAAATCAACATACAAAAATCAGCAAGAAAACAATTTTTAAAGAGATGCCATTTATAATGTAAAAAATATATTAAAAATACATAGGACTAAATTTAATGAAAGGCAAACGAGACCTGAATAAAATTTTATCTAAGAATATTTTAAAAGACTTTAAATATATGGAGAGATACACCATGTTTATGAATAAAAAGACAGTGGAGTGGGGCTGTAGAGAAAATATTTTTGTTTTTATAGCTAGGGCTTTCTGAGCATATTGTACTAAAAGTTGGGACCTGGGCTAAAAGCAAGCTTTGGAAAATAATTTATGACTGATTTAGATAGTGAGAAAAATCCAAAGAGATTTACCTACTGGAGGTACGTGTTTACATTTCTGGGGGGGGAGGGGTGTGTGTGATAAAATCCTGAACCATGGAGACATACTGGCTTGTAGAGCTGGAAACTCTGGTCTTATGTTTCCACTGGAGTGGTTTATTTACATTCCAAAGGGCTGTAGTAAGAACCCAGGATCCTTTCCATTATGTTTCCAAGGAGACTCTCTCAGAACAGGGGTGTGGAAGGGAAGCAGCTGCTTCTCTCTTCTATATAAACACCCATATTAATTTTGGGGGGGAGGGTTCCTCGTCTACAATACAGGCACCATATATGTCGGGTTTTATACATCTGGTTCTCGTTGTGCTCTCCCAGAGGTAAAAAATGGGGCACAGGAGAGTCACAAGGTTATTATTTGCTAGACGTAATAATAATAATAATAATCGGCTCTGCTCTAGAAACCTTGTGTGGGCATTCAGGATAATATTAATAAACATGGATACTAAAAACTTAAAGACTCAATATGTACTGATGTCAAATCTCCTGAAATTGATGTACAGAGTCAATATAATTTTAATCAAAATCCCATCACAGTTTTCAAGGAATAGAGAATCAAGAAGCAGATCCATATAGGAAAATTTGACCAATGACAGGTGACACTGCACATTACTGGGGAAAGGCGTGCCTATTAGTAAACAAACAGCTGATTAGCCATATGGGAAAAAAGTAAAATTGGATCTTTATCTCACATGATACAAAAGAATAAACTTCTGGTGGATTAAAGACAAAATATGAAAGATCAAATTTAAAATCTTTGAGATAAAAATATAAGAATTTTTTTACATCGGATTTCTTATGCAAGCTAGCAAATGCACTCATCATAAATATAAAGATTGATAAATTCGACTACATTAAAAGAACTGTTAATCAAAAGATTTAATTAAAAAATGAAAATACAAGGCACCAATGGGGAAATGATATCTGTAACATACATAAATGACACAAGATTAGTACGCCCAGAAATTTTCAAGAATTCTTACAAACCAATAAGAAAAAGACAAACAACTCAACAGAAAAATGTACATAAGATATTAAGAGGTATTGCACAAAAAAAGAAATATGAATGATGAATAGAAATATGTAAAGATACTCAATCACAATAGTAATTAGGGGAATGCAAATTAATATCATAATAAAATCTCATTTTTAGACCTAAAATATAGATTTAGACTAGGGTGGCCAAAAATAATAAATCTGGTAATACAAAGTACTGCTGAACATAAAAACTCCTATGTATAAACTACTGGTGGGAGTGTAAATTGGTATAATCATTAGAAAACAATTACATAAAATGGAATATTTATATTGCCTATGACCCAGTTATTCTACTCCTAAATGTGTGTGTGTGTCTATCAGGATACATGTACAAGAATGCTCAGAGCAGCACTGTTACAATGTCTGTAAACTATAAACAATCTAAATATCTGTAAACAAAAAACCAGATAAATTGTGGAGTGTTCACATAATGATATATACTACAGAAATTAAAATGATCTGTAGCTACATGGATGAGTCTTAGAAATATAACGTTGAATGGAAGAAGTCAATTTCAGAAGACCACATATATCATAATATCATTTTTACAAATCTCAGAACCAAGAAAAACTAAGTAATATATTATTTAGTGATATATGTGATAAAAATCTTTTATTTTTAAGTAAGCAGATGATTAACACAAAATTCAGCAGAGTGGTTACCACTGGCAGGGAAGTGAGGAAAAAGGGATGAGAAATGACCACACAGGGTGATATTACAAGACAGGTAGTGTTTCACTTCTTAAGCTAGGTGTTAGATTCAGAGGCATTGGTTTTGTTATTGTGCTGCAAAACTTGTATAATATTATACTTATTCTTTTATATGCATCAAATGAAAAAATTTAAAAAGAATATCTACTGCCTGTAGGACATTAAGCAAATCACTCAAACTTTTTTATTGGAATAATCTGTCTCTTTTCAACACTACCCTCTTCTCAAAATACATTAAAAGGATTTTTAATATTAAAACTTATTAAAAATTGGAGAATTAGTTGTTACAATAAATCTAGACATCAGAGTCTCATCCTTATTATGGTAACTAAGTGTGGCAGAGAAATTCTACCATTAAACACAAAATAATAACCACTACTATTACATTATTAAAGCAAATAGAACATTTGTTATATACATGCCAAATATTATTAAATTTGCCATGAACTTAAATGGATCTATAAAACATTGCTTGAAAACACATTAAGAAGTAAAATGTACTGATCTAATTCAATTTAATCTTTACAACTTTCTGTTAGTCCTTTAGTTTGGCATCATGAGCAAACAGTTATTTCTTTCAATTCCATCCATTCCTTTACTGGCAGTAAGACTTATAAATCTATCCCAGAAGAAATTCATTCTGTATTATCAGTATATTATATATTGCACTACTGCATATAATCTATACTATGCAATAAATCACTGATTTCTTACTTGCAAGTTGGTTAGTAACAGTCCCATTTTTTGGTTTGTTTATAGAAGCCATGGTACATACGGCATGTGGTTCAAGTATTTTTTCTCTAGTGCTTGAATGTTATTTACTCTACTGAGCTGTGTTATAGTCTTTGCTATCAGTAAACTTTGTTGATGTTTATAATACTCTTTAAGTGTTACATAAAATTCTTATGAAAATGTCTAACTTGTTTGTCCATGCTGCTTTGAAAGATAAACTGCCATTAAAAACAGAAATCAATAAATCATTAAAGAAATTTTTAGATTATAATCTTTTATGAATGTTCATATCACCAAGTTACAAAGAAAATATACCTGTAACGTTTTCTGTAGATGCTAAACAGATTCTACTATTCCTTTATTTCTTCATAATATTCCTTTTTCAACAACAGTCACTTTTTAAATCAAGTACTTTTATTAACTTTCTAAAAGGACACAAGATTCTGAGCTTTAAAGCCACAAGGATATAAAAGTTTCTTCATCACTAGTTATTAAACAAATAATATATACCGAAGTAATTCTTAAAAGTTCAAACAACTTTTTAAACATAAAATTTACAATATATTATTGTAATTCACTATGAATATTTTAAGTATTCTAATTAAACAAAGGTTAAGAAGTCAGAAAAGGCTTTAAAAATCTATCTGCATATTTTTTACCTTATTTAGATCTTCCCTTTCTTGTTGTAACATTTTGATTTGTTTTTCATAAGCCTTGATTTGTCTAAAAGCATCATCTAGTTCTTGCCTCACAGAATTAGCTTCTTCAAGTTGCTGTTCCAAATGACTTGATTCTAAAAACAAAAGACAATATTTCATTTACTATTTTATGAAAACAAATGCTTGAAATCAAAGCATGGTTTATAGCAAGTAAATTTTTAAACAGAGAAGTATTCTGAATTTGGTAGTAGGCTTACTGACACCACAGTATCACTGTGACTCATGACAAATGAATGCATATTAATTCACCGTAGAGATAGTGAATGACTTATGCCAGTATGAAGATGCACAAATGCTTACATAGTAGGGAAAAAAAGCCATACTTTCCAAAACATCATCTTTAGAACCAATTTAAAACTTAAAAAAGAACAAACTCAAACAAAAAGACAAGTTCTTTTCTACTATTGGTAAGCATCCTTGTGCTTAGTCAAATGACAGTAAGATAATTTTGCTTGTTGTTTTTGTGAACAGTCTTATTTATTGTAACTATTATACTTACAAAAATATATGGTTTGAAAGTGATCAAAAATCAGAGATTTACCTTGGCTTGTGGTTTTCAAACTTGCTCTACAAAGCATGTGTGTGCGCGCGTGTGCATGACTACAAATCACCCAACCCCATTTCAACCATGACATCTCTGCTTTTGATTTATGTAGTGTGTTTAAGATTTTATTTGAAGAATAAACTGATTTCTAAAAATAAATATTTGAAAACCTCTGATCTAGACAAGTCCTTCCATTTCTCAGATGAAGAAACTGAGGCTCAGGGAGTTGCAAAGTTGCCTAAGGTCACACTGCTTAATAAATGCCAGAGTTTTGATTAGGGCCTAGGAATTCTTGCATTAATCTGTATGACTTAGAAAATAAAGTCATTAAATAATGTTTAACATGACTAGTTCAGAAAAGCTATTATGAAACAAAATTATTAATTTTAACATATGCTTAAATAAAATTTAATAAATTGATACTAAGTGTTCCTGGCATCAAAAGTAAGTTAACAAGGTAAAAAATTGGGGTCAGTAAAAACAGAAAAGTTTAAACACATTCATTGTTAATTGTGTTCCAAATATTTTCTGGTTTTTATAATCTTGTTACCTAAAGCGGCACTACAGACAAGCAGCCGATATCCTTTGGGAGCTAGTCAGAAAGGCAGAAGCTAAGGCCCTGCCACAGAGCTAATGAATCAGAATCTATATTTTAACAAGATACCCAGGTGATTCTTTTATACATTATAGTCCAGAAACAAATGCACAAAAGTACTGAAGATTGTTGAGTTTGATGCTTTCAATAAATGAAGTAGTTTTTATAACACACTAGTTCTATTGAGAACATTTCGCCTGTGCAGACAAGCCCTGTAGACTAAAAATCACTCACATACATTGGTGTTATCAGATACTAAATGTTTCTAGGTTTGTTAAATAAACTAATTTACTGATATTCAGTTCCTTAAATTCATAGATTTATTGAAATTTATTATCTTAGCTATTTTTAAAGCCTAGATACATTTATACTGGATAGCATAGTTTTTAACAACTTTTCAAGATATCTGCAAAGTTGTAGTCAACTAATTTTCATTCTATGTTAACAGTATCATTTAATAAATATTTTATTTAAAAGAAAGCTAAGGATCATAGAGTATATAATCTTAAGGATCATCAGGTATTTATTCTTAAATCCATGAAATTATATTTTGTCATCATTTTCTCAAATTTCAGCAATTCATATGGGAATTTTTTGTTTATGCTAATTTCTTTCAAACACTTTCAAATGGCATTTTCCTATTATTTCAACCTTTTAACATTTTTAGGATTCTTTCACCAATTTCTAAAGTAGACATCAGATTGGTTTGTTATTTTCTAGTTATTAGGAGTCACAACATACTATGTGAAGTAGCTGGCTTCTGTTACTTCCTGGTTCATCTTAATTGAATTTATGGTTAAGGTATAATACCAATTTCGAGTAGTAATATGATACACTTAGTAACCCTCTTTGAGTATGCTCACTTCCTTTCTGCTGCTTCGGAGGGCTCTTCTCTAGCATGTTAAATATTGTTTGCAAATTGGTAAGTTTTTGATTTATCACAACTTCTCTTTGTTAGAAACAAAACAAAACAAAAATAAGTATTTCATAAAATGTCTGCACCTTATAAAGTCTATAGTAAATTGTAGCACATGGGATAGCTTCAACCACATTTAAGGTTGTTTTATTTCTGTATCATTTTAATTTCACCCCAGTCATTTAACTTTGGCTGCTTCGTAATGGAGTTAAGTAGAGAAAACGATGTCAGATTCCTGTATTTCACATTTCAGACACTTTTTAAATGCTTTAAAAGCTCAAAATATTTATTTAAGCAACAACCTGTAAAGTATGAAAAAGTACACAAGGAAATTTACTGGATCAAGAAGTGTTGGAGAAGAGAAATAATCAACTTATTTATAAAATTCTCCAATATGGAGAGAAGCACAAAATGTGTAATTTGAAATATTCAAAAATTTGTATTCTCAAAAGACAAAAACCTAAAGTAAAATAAAATTCAGAATGCACTAGATTTTGGCCAGTGACTGTAAAATGACTAAGGGAGAAGAGTGCTTACTTTTACTACAATTAATACTAAATTCGACTAAAACTCTAAAAGAAATTCTCAAAGACTATTAAAAATATATCATGCAATACAATTAGCAGTAACATTTTGATGAAGTTATTAAAAACTAGTTTTAGTGAACCAATAGAAAAAGCAGTACTAGGAAAGCAGGTTAGCTCATACAAACTAACTGATTCTTAGCTCACTGCCGCTATTAAAATTCTGAAATTCAATCTGTTAATAATGAGGATTTAATGAGCATCTAATACGTAATTTTCTTTGAACTGCACGGCATATAAGAGAAAAGTAAGATATGGTCTCTGTCTTGAAGGAGATAATAATCAAGTTAAGAAGAAAAGAGTAGCACTCTTAAATTCATAGAGAAAATCAAACATAAACTGTGTGGCAGGGTATAGGGTGCTACAGCTATTAAAAGACATGCAAAAAAAGGGTATAATTAAAGCAGTACTCAAAGTGGAACACTAGCAAATTAGAAAGGAGCTAAGACTGGAGTCAGAAGGAGGTTGTTAATCAATCCACAAGGAACAATGTTTCATAGCATTTCCACCATGTTCCTATTCCTAAAACAATAACTCTTCTGCAACATTAAGGAATTTTACTACTAACCAAATGGGGGAAAACAGGCTCCCCTATCTTCCCCCACTCCCACTCACTCTCTCTTTTATTACATTATATAGCACTGTATTTGTGTGTGTGTGTGTGTGTGTGTGTGTGTGTATGAGAGAGAGACAGAAAGAGACAGAGGGAGTGTTAGTTACCTACTTAGTTTGTTTAGGGTTGGAGAGACTGCACATGGAGGTACAAACCAACAAACCCAGAATGGGGGTTAATAAGAACATAATTTTTTCATTTAGAAAAAAAATCTCTATTTTCACATACACAAATATTAAATGAGAATTTGAATTTTTTATTTTTGTCTGAAGACAGTCAACAAATATGTACCAAGTATCTGTTATATGACACTGGTCACTGAGCTTGGCACTGTGAATACAGAAGTAAGGAAAACAAACTCTGTCACTACCATCTTGGAGCTCAGAGTCTGGTGAGGAAAGCAGATATTAATAAGTAATTGTAAACAACTATGAATTTATTAAATTCTTCTAGGCCATTTTAAATATTAGAAAACACTGCTGTAGGGAAACACTGGATACGAAGACATTACTAGTGAGTACTTGTCTACACAAAGACCTTGCTTAAGAGGTGTCTAGAAAAACATGAGATCAGAGCCGTTTTGAATACATTTTTTTTCTTCAGAGCCAGGGTAAAAGTCAGGGATCCTCATCAGGCCGATTCTTAGGGGAGCCTCCACTTTATCTCTAGCTCTTATGTCAAAATATTTAAAATAGCTTGCATTTAATGATGAATGAAGCATAGCCTTTATCCTCAACTTTACCACTTTACCTCCAGTGGCTATTAATTCTTGGTACACAGTGTTGTTGTGTGCTGTCAAGTAGATTCCGACTCACAGTGACCTATTAAGACAGAGTAGAACTGCCCCATAGGGTTTCCTAGGCTGTAATCTTTACGGGAGCTGATTGCCAGAGGTCTTTCCTCCCACAAAGCCGCTGCGTGGGTCTGAACTGCCAACGTTTCAGTTAGCAATCAAGTGCTTAACCATTGCACCACCAGGGCTCCTTTTGGTACACAGAAGCAACTTGAATATTTGTTTATGGATTGAAATGAGAATGAAAGAAAACGAACAGATAGAATGGAACTGGAGACATCATTGAGACTAGAAAGGGGCAAAAGGAGAGCTTCAGAAGGTCAGAATACTAAAAAAGAGGATTTACCCTTTCTTTCTGTATTATTTTCACCACTCTATTCCACACCTTAAAATGGCAAAAAATAATGAGAGAGCAGTCTACAAACATCGAATTTACGGAGAAGATGGGAGTAAAGTAAGGTAAGGAAATAACATTCAACGGGAGTTTTATGGAATCAATATCCCCAGTTTGGCCAAGTCTTCCCAGGGCCCATTTAACTGTATGTAAGAAATGAAAGTTTGTTGGGAATTTCCTGTAGAGATAAAATGTCACAGCTATTTATGATTTCCATAGCAACTTTATAAGCTTCCCATCTTTTTTGAGCTCATTAATTTTTATATATATATATATACACATATAGTACTTTAGATGGCTTACAGAATAGTTTCTCATTACGGTTAATACACATATTGTTTTATGACATTGGTTAACAACCCCATGACACATCAACACTACTCTCCCTTCTCGACCTCGGAGGATCTTTTTTTTGGTGAAAATATACATAGCCAAAGTTACACCATTTCAAAAGTTTCTACATGTACAATTCAGTGACATCAATCACATTCCAGTTGTGCTGCTGTTCTCACTATCCTTTTCCAAATTATTCCATCACCATTACCTTCAACTCACTGCCCCCTAGGTTTCCCATCAAACCTTTTGAGTTGCTGTTGTCAATTTGATCTCACATAGATAATTTTTTTCTTTTTTTG